ATGGAGATGGGTTTTCTGTGGAACCTGGGGAGATGGGATGAGATGAGATGGGATCATAACAGCGGGTGGGTAGGAGTTCTCTTCACTGGCCATCCTCTCTCCTTTCCAAGGCTGTCTTTGTGTTCTCAAATGATTTCCTGCGTGCAAATCTGTACCTGCTCAAGATGTAAATGGAAACAAAGCTCTCGAAGCTCTCTAGACTTCCCTGGAACCACTCTTCCCTTTTCAAACCTCACATCTCTCCGCATATAGATCGAAAGCCGCTGTGAGCCCAACCTTTTATTGCACAACTGAAAGCATATCAAGGAAAGCTTTCTCCACTTATTTTCACTTGAATAAATCCGTTCTCGGTATTCAGTTTTAGCACTAAGAGCTCATGATATTTATCTCTCTTGCTCCATGCTTCTCTTCTTGCATCTCTGCCTACCTATACTTCCTAGAAGAGATGATTTCAGCACAAAGCTAGCTCTCAGTAACAAACAACACAATTACCGCAAATTTTCATCCGTCCTATTCACGAGTCTCACACTCTCAACATATAGAATTAATATCTTCATGTTCGCATATCTTCATTCCGATCTCGATGTCCATTTGCACCTCTACTCACTTCGCACTTCAACTTTACATCGGATACCGATTCCCACATATGAGTACTGTAGGCTGTGAGTCCACTGTGTATCCATGAATCCAATCTAGTTCTCGTATATACATCACACCACAACACTAACCACATCATACATTCTCTACTCTCTAAACATAACCACACGATCGTTTCATCCACCGAACCTAACATTCATCAAGACAATATGATATTCGTCTGCAAACTCCATACCAATGATGCATTCAGTAAAATCAACCCAACGCCTCTGCTAAGCTGTCAAACACTCAAATGCAACCAGTCAGCTATGAACCCAAATCCCCAAACAAAGCATCAATAACTTCATCTAACAGCGTAAATGTAAGATGTGCACTGAATGTATATGTTAGTCTTGTCTCACATCATTTCATATCATTTCATCCAATTTCATCACCGCCCGCACACCCCACCCCAACCCAACTTCAGAAAGCAAAAAAGAACACTCACTTCAGCCTCGGATTGTTGAACGTAGCGAATATCCTCCGACTAGCCGCCTGCGCATTTACCCTCCCTACCACACTCCCAGCCAAATCCGGTATCAGCGTTGCCAACATCAAACTTGCTTCTTTTCTGCTCTTGCTCTTTTCTCCCGTCGTTCTGGTCTTCCCTTCCACCTTCCTCTCTCCCCCAGGCCACATGGAATCTTTAAGGATTGAAATATACTTCACGATCATATCATCATGGATAAACCCCTTTACATTTTCCCTGACCTTTCTCTCTATCGTTCCACCTAAAAGTTGGTGAAGAACAACCACTACAGCACGGCCGCGCAACCAATTGTTTCCACGATTGAGTTCGAAGACTTCGAGGAAGATGTCGCAGATAGGTTTTACGAAGGGTTCTAACTCTTTATCTTCGAATGCGTTCAGTTCTGCTTCTGCTTCGGCTGCTGTTAGAGGGTCCTCGCTTATTGTTGAGGGCATGGTGATGAGCTGATTGGTTGCTGCTGATAAGAGATTCTGTCCTGCGACTGAAAGTTGGTCTAGGACTGGAATATTTCCGAGAATATCTTCCATTCCATCTGTTACTGAGTTGTAGAATCTTGTCATGATATCCTTCTTGTTGTCGATGGCACCTGCGTCTTCTAATTCTGGAGCCAGAGCACTTTGGGAAAGGAATGCGCGCAACTCTCGACTTCGACATATATCAGGTAACAGAAGAATTTCTCGGAGATATTTTTCTAATGCCGCACGTCGCTTTTGAAGAAAGTCTCCTTGTAGCTTCATGACCATCCGCCTACGAGGAAAATCAAGATGTCCTACTGATGGATACTTGATTCTCAGTCGCTGATGAAGTTCATGAAATTCGCTATAACGTCGAGTAATGGTCCAGGTTGCAGCTGGCATCTGTTCTCCGGACTTTCTTTGTACTTCGATAACGTAAACAGCATACTCTCGACCGTCGTCCTCTTTTCCAACCATGATAGATTTGATTTTGATAGTGGAACGTCCATAAAGACTGTTATCACTCTCTTGTATAACATATTGCTGCCTCTGAAGCTCTTTGCGACGAATCTCTCTTTCTAAACTAGCCTTGGACTTTCGCAGGATTCTGAGCTCGGCTGTATTGTTTGTGAGTTCAGCTTTTCTTGTTAATGAATCAACCACAGCGTCTTGAGCTATAAGGCGATCAATGTCAGTAGTGAGAAGAGTGATAGCCTCTGCTAGACCTAAATCACCAGGAGCTGCCTCGTGGACTTGATCTTGGTTATCCTCATCGTCGTCCTTCTCAGGGTCGTCATGTTCATCGGAAAGAAACCTTTCTTCATCCCCAAATAGATCGTTATCTGTGAATACACCAATTCTAGAAGAAGTGTTTACAAGTCCAAGCGATGCTATACTTGGCTTTTCCGTTCGTTCATGTCTGTCAGCCCCTTTACCATTCTCAATTCCAAATAGATCCGCTCGCTTATGATCACTTGAACTCCTGTTTGAGATGTCGTTCGACGTGGAATTAACGCTTGGAACAGGTGAGTCCGGGGTATCATTAGGGCCAAATAGTGAGCTTCGAATATCATCAATGTTAGGCTTATCCTCCATGATCGTATTCAACGCCGCTTCCATGGCTTGCACAACATTGTTATCCGGAACAATTACACCAGGTTCTTGATCAAGACTCATTATTGAATTTGCCATTGCATCGCTATCCAGGTCATCATCTTCAAATAAGGGAGTTTCCTCATCTAGAGAGGCTCGAGAATTTGACATGGGGTCTGATTGATGGGTGGTTAAATCAGTGAAAGACATAGCAGCCCGACGTAGATCTGACCTCTTTGGAATCAATTTTGATGAACCTCTTGAGAAAGAAGGGGAGCGTGTATTGACTGTCATGGTAGTATTTGATCTGGGAGCTATCGATGGTTTGCGCGTCGTATTCTCCAAATTAAGTGACGGTGCTGGAGAAGGTTGGCCAATTTTTGAAGCTTCTTGAGATGTGAGACATTTGTAGAAAAGATCTGATCTTTTAAAATGTGGGAAGAATTTATCTTGCATTACTTCCAGTGCAGAGGTTTGAGCGCGTAATATAGCTCTTCTAGCCATAAAGTATTGTTTTGAAGTTGCCTTATTACCCGCCTTGAGAAACTCCTGGACAATACGTTTCGAAGTATCCGGGACTTTGAGTTCTGGCTTAGAAAGATACGCATCGTTTATCTGGGCAAGATCCGTTCTATCGGCATCAGTCCAAGGGGCAATAGTAGTCGGGACTTGTTCGTCTTCTGCACCATCATCCTCTAGAGGATTTCGAAACCCATCAACTACAATCCAAAACTGTACAAGAGACATACAATTCTGCCTGTCCATGTATTCCATGAAATATGAAAGACCAGAAGGATCATGTAGGAGATCCACAAGTGACGCATTTTCGAGCTTTGATGCTTGAACGCCATTACGACCTGGTTGCGAGACCAGAGCTCCGCGATCACCTGTGGCAGCCAATTGGCTAACCCTTTCGTCCAATATTCTCTTTCCAATATCAAGTCGTCGCAAGTATACCGGATCTTGTCCATCCTTCAAAGCATCCCGCTTGAATTGACTGGATACCTCACTTCGAAACCTTCTAGCATCCGACAAATTGTTCGTCTTCCTAATCGCACGAATGAATTTTTCGAACTTTCTTTCATGATCTCCCGGTGAAAATCTCGGAAACTGCGCAGTACGATTCGATTTAGGAGCGGGTGATGCATGCTCATCTAGTGCAGCCCGAAGTTTTCGCACAGTTGATCTATCTTGAAGCATAGAACGTCCCTGTATTTTGTTAGCGCAAATCTCGGAATTGATGATAACTCGGGATATATACATATGCCTCCATTATCTGATTCCACATATCCGGATCAGAAAGCATTTGCATTATGGGGAAAAGAACGGCACAAGCCACCAATTCCCTGATCAAAACTCCCACCGCACGACTCCCGATAGCATTCTCTGGTAGAATCTCCGGCAGCAGCTTTTGTGTCAAATCCCGTAGATATTCTTGTTGTACCAGCTTCGTATCCGAGAAGGCCAGAGAGGCCGCAGAATGTAGTTTCCCATCATTGTATTTCGCCGCTATCGCAAGGTCCAACTCATCAGATTCCGTAACACTTCGATTCAAATTCTTGCCTCTGATAGCAACCTCCGCATTGTAGAACTCCTTGAAATGCCCTGTCAGAATAGGTACAAAACGGGTGGTCACAACCTCCACCAAATCTATATCCAGTAATCGATCTCGCAGGTTGACAAGAGCCAATCTTATCGTCTTGTCAACCTCATTGGTAAACGTCGGGTTCCTGCTAATACTCCCATACCACGAAGCCACAAAATCGCGAAGTATAAGGTCTAAGAAGTCGTCGAGGGCGCATGATACTATAAAGGAGTCTGGGACTAATGGCTTTCGTACATGCATTTGTCGTGTGCGTAACGCGGCTATTTCCTTCTTCCATTTCGTCGCTGCCAGGAATGCAGGTCCTTTTGGTCGGCGCACAATATATTCTTCTCCGTATTGGGAACCTCTAGATGTAAGAAGTAGCAAAGCTGTGAGCCCCACGATGGGTACAATCAGACCTGCGACAAATGCATATCCAATCCAGCGCAAGGTCGGGATCCAATTGGTAGCAAATCCCCAGGCAAAAAATACGGCAATACCAGCTAAGATCACATCCCGACGACTCAGGGCCATAATCTGTGAAGGGCAATTGTATTTATGAACAGCATTTTTGGTGGGAACTTTTTTGGAAGCTCTATTAAGGTCTCACAATGGTTGTAGCTTTCGGCTTTCAGGGTCCTCGCGTAATCTTTCCATTCCATTTCACATGCAATATGACCAGTCACGGTCGACGAGCATATTAATCTTTTCACAATGGGAGAGTAGACAGTCTATGAATTGAAATGTAGGCATGATTTCGAATTATGTATTCGTTTATTTCCTCTATTTGACCTTCGACAATCGCAACCCTCGTCAGGAATAGGATCAACATAAATTCCCATTGACTGGCTCCTATCGTCATTTTTTGTGTAAATAACATCCCCTCTAGATATTTTGACATCTGCTTCACCCCTCTTTTACCAAGGAGGATCTTCCAAACGCTTGAACAATGCAACAAATTTTGGTCCATTATTCCTCGTAACCTTCTTTCCTTCCTCGGTCTCCGTTCTCATTATATTGACACATTCATCTGCTTCTTGCTCCTCTTCTGCAACGCGCTCAAAAGTAGGATGTGCGTTGAAATGTGTAACCATCCAATTATGAAGGTCTTCAACATCGGTGATAGTATATATGATTCCTCCCGGTCGAACTACGTAAGCATACTCAGCGGCTAATGTGGTCGATACAATTCTAGCCTTATGCTTTCGTGTTTTGAAATGAGGATCTGGAAAGCAAAGGAAAATCTTTGAGAGTTGATGTTTTTTGAAGAAATTTGGCATAAATTTCATGGTATTAGCTCGTATGCATGAAGCATTTTGAAATAGACCGGATTCCTTTTCTTGAACTCTTAGAGCTTTAATTCGTTCTTGTACATATTCTGTGACTTGCGCTCGAATCTCCATACCTGTCATAAAAGATTAGAATTGTGTGAAGCGATTGTAAGGAGTGATTCATACCAAGAATTAAAGAATTTGGTAATTTGGGAGCTAAAGCTACTGTCAAACCACCAAATCCACAACCAATGTCTGCAACTTCAACGTCTTGCTTCATCTTCTTGGGACTGCTAGAGTCTGAAACTGTTGAAGGTTCTTCTGTGCTTTCAGAAGCCGTTGCGGACTCTGCATAGGCGGGGTAATGCGAAGCCCAATCCATCTGAGCTGGGGAAGCGGGACTAATACCAGTCAATGAAGTCTCTTACAATGGCAATGGCAAGCGGACGTACTATGCCAGACGATGATCCGAGAAAGGATTTGCATGCGCTCTCTGTCTGTAGAACTTCTTCTTTGGCAATTCCTTACTCTCCTCGCCATTTTCTCTCGCAGTTCGGTAATCCTCCCGTTTCTGCTTTTTGTTCGGTGGGCCTGCCATGTTGATCGTAGAACTTCCAAAATTTCTTGACAGTCAACGATATCTTCCTTGATGTAATGGAATCGTGAATGTCCGAAAAGATGGGAGGCTGTGGTTGTGGTTCAAACGAGGCTTTAGCATGACGGAAAAAGCTCAAGGCTGAACTTTTTTTCTCGCAAGGAACCTCAAATGCACCAAATAAAATGTTAGTGGATGGTGGATTTTTCCTTTCTATTTTAGTCCAATTTAGCTAATTGGAGGCCGTGAGTTTATGAATTTTAGCATTTTAGCATTTTAGCAATATTTTTACTAAATTATTATATTTACATTTATATTAAACTCTTGTGGAGCACCCAAACACAAAGCTACGAAGTACAAGGTCCATGGGTATGTATGATTGACACAATGATACCTACCCCTAGTAACCTTAATCGTCATCTTGGGCCACCGCAATATTCTGATTGCGATAACAACATTATTCACCCCCAGGTTATTCTATCGAAACGTTGTGAAGGACGACCTCAATAAATTACAATTACAAATATTACCACAAATTGTAACAAACCTCGAGAATTGCATCAAGGAATGAAATCCACATTCGTTACCAATACCATTACTTGAATCCAGCTCTTGGCTTGAGGCTGATGCAATTGCATACAATCTCTTTAGGTATGTGCTTGCACCATTAGCATTGAAGCATTTAAGCCATTCCATCCCTCATTCTTCGTTCTTTCTCATTGCTGTCTCTCCATTCCTCTCAAATTCCATATATCGATATGTGAAAGGACCGACCATTTAGTTTTTACTCCCATATCATCCTGATTCGAGAAGCTCGTACTTGGCGACTACATCTTTACCAAACAGCAAGCATTTCCTTACAGCTTCCAGAGAGGAACACGAACTGCATACGGATTCTCAGCATTATCGCTCATTCAATCTTTTAACGTCAAGGAGGGAGTTTTTGATCTTCGCTCCCTAGGAGTCTTTTCATATAACATGCCGTGGTTCTCAATTCTTCCTGAAAGTCTAGCGTTTATCGAAGTGTGGGCTAGAAACACGTTTGTAAGTATTTGGTACCAAGGACTTCAATCACTGAACTAATATCATACATAGTTTGTTACTGGGTATATTGTGCATAGGACCATGGCTATTGACTCTCCTCTTCGATATTATTTTCTACCTTTTCCGCTTAATACACCATGAAATGCCTTATTTTGGTGGGCGGGCAAGAGATAGACCACGACCGCGTGCACCGAGCTTGAGCGAACGACCGAATGGCCAAGGACGACCGAGAATCTTAACAATGCCCTCAGTGAATGGGACAGTCAATATGGCAGACATCTTAGAGGACAAAGCTGAGGGAATAAAGAAGGGAATAGAGGAAGCAGCGCAACCACGAAAAGATAGCGGCGCGATAGTAGACGATTGAACAGCAAACAACTTTTATGGTATTATAACATGATTTCAAGACAATCTTTCGAGGACCTTAATAAGATCACCTGTGACACCCATTGCTGTGACATCTCCTCCAGCACCAGCTCCTTGAATGATTAAAGGATTGGATCCATATCGCTTCGTGTAGAAGCTGATGATATTATCACTTCCCTTGAGGGCAGCAATTGGGTGAGATTTGTCGAATTTCTCCAAACCCACCCTCACTTCCTTCTTTGCGACATCGATACTACCAACGAATCTTACAACCTTACCCTCCTTCTCGGCGGCAACCTTTGTTTCCTCCATCTGGGAATCGAACTCTGGCAACTTTTGAAGGAATTCCTCTCCACTTGAAACGCTCTCCAATTCCTTGGGGATCAAGCTTTGGACTGGGAATGAAGTTGGGGATTCTACCTCAAGACCTGCCAATCTTGCCAAAATTGTCAACTTTCTGGCGACATCCAGTCCGTTCAAATCATCTCTTGGATCTGGCTCAGTGTAACCCAACTCCTTTGCTTTAGCGACTTCGGAAGACCACTTTCCTCCTGAACCTTCGGTAGGAGCGAACGAGTTAAACAAGAAGGACATAGTACCGCTGAAGACACCTTCGATTTTAGTTACGGAATCACCTGTGTCGACCAATTCCTTCAAAGTAGAGATAACTGGCAATCCAGCTCCAACCGAACTCTCATGATACACCTTAGCTCCGGATGAGGAAGCTGCGGAGAAGATATCCTGCCACAATTTATATGATCCGGAAAACGCCTTCTTGTTGGGAGTGACTATCGAGATTCCTTTGGACAAAACTTGTGGGTATGCATCTGCGACATCTTGCGAACTTGTGTTGTCGACAAGGACGACCTTTGCAGGTGCAGCTGCTAAGTATTCAATGATCTTTGGCAAAGAGAGTGGTTCTTGTGTAGAGTCTGCGAGGGTATTTGAGAGGTTGGAGTATGAAAGAGGAGTATATTTTGGGCTGTAGAGAACTTTCTTGCTTCTTGAAACGAAGATGAGGGATATCTTGGCTGAAGTAAATCGTTGAGAAAGAGCTTCAAGTTGAGATAGAAAGCATTTTCCTACACCACCAGCACCTAATCAAGTATTAGCTAAATAGAGCTCATGTTAAAACTATCAAAGATTGCAGATTAATACCAATGACTGCAACGTAAATTTCCTTAGCTACCATGTTGACTTGATTTGTGGATGATTAAAATTCAGGATTGAAGATTGATCAATGGCAGATTGTTTGGTTTTAAAGGTTAAATGTCTTGCTCGTACTGAAGAATCAAAATGTTATGAATAATGAGCAATCACGGAAGGATTGCAGGTGGTGGGGTTGTTTCTATGCACAATAATCCGATCTCGCACATATTGATACCCCTCTCTCCAATATCCACTTTACTAATTTCTATTGGTCAATTACAGATGGACGAGGCCGCGATTTCGAGCTCCCCAGATTCCCTCAGCCTTACGAGAATATACATCAACTCGATGATCGCATTATTTCCATCTATCTCTCCTTCAACTACAACTACAACAACAATAATTCCTCCAAAATGTCCAACGACCCTAATAATCTGTACAATTTCAAAAAACCTAAGCTTCACTCCTCCTCTGCTAAAGAATTATCCTCTTCTACAAACCTAGCATTCTCCTCGACTCTCTCATCACTTCTCGCTTCTCAAACGCAGGAGTCTTCATCATCATCCACTACTCGCGGTCGTCCTCGTCCCTCCAAAACTAAAGAAGACATCTTTAAAACACATAATAAAGGAACCAAGAAACGCGCCGCAAAAGATTTGGAAGATGATGAGGATGGAAATATATATACCCAGATTCGAAAAACTGGCCAGGGGGAAAGAATAGATGATAGTACGCTTCACAGGAGTAAAAAACGACTTGCTGAAAAGGCAAAGATTTATTCGCGGTTGAAACGCGGTGATCACGATAGACTCGGAAACGGAAACGGAGATGAAGATGAAGATGAAGAAGCGGAAGGACTTGTAGATTTCGATCGCAAATGGGTTGAAGGAGGTGAAAAAGATGAAGACTCCGATAGCGATGATTCCTTTGGCGGCGGCGCTTCAAACGCAGAAGATAACCAACTCGTCGAATATGAAGACGAATATGGTCGTCTCCGCCAGGTAACCAAAAAAGAAGCGCAGCGTCTCGAGCGTCAGCGCAGGAATGCCCTCCTTGGCGCAGAAGAACTAGAGCGTATGTCCGCTCGTCCAGCCCAGCCTTCTCAACTCATCTACGGCGATACCATCCAATCATCTGCTTTTACATCGACGCTGGATTCCGAAACCGCGGAGAAAATGGAGGAGTTGGCCAAGAAGAGAGATAGGAGTGCGACGCCGCCGGAAATGAAACATTATGAGGCGGATAAGGAGGTGAGGAGTAAAGGACAGGGGTTTTATAGTTTTTCGAAGGATGAGGAGATGAGGAAAGAGGAGATGGAGAATTTGGAGAGGATGAGGAGGGAGACGGAGAGGGGGAGGAAAGAGAGGGAAGGGCTGAAGGAGAAGAGGAAGCGAGAGATTGAGGAGAGGAGGAGGGTGTTGGGGGAGAAGAGAGCGAAAAAACAGGCGGATGCTTTTTTGGAGGGGCTCGGCGACGTCCCTACGCCGACGCTGATGGATGGAAAGGAATGAAAGGAGTTAGGAGTAATGTTTGTATTCTATGTTATTATGTATGCCTGAGCTACGATGCATATCTCGTCACTTAGTGGGGGATTTTGTACTCTGGATATCGAGCGCTCTGAGAAAATTACGGAGTCAGGAACATGAAGATTGTAGACATAGAAAGATAGGAACCATGATACCCCAAATATATTGATATATAATTCACCAAGACCCCTTAAAGATACTGTACCATCTCTCTAGACAGATCTTTCAGAAGAAGCAAGCATAACAAACACTCATTATACACAAAATTCGTGGTATACATATCTCATAAGCTAAAATACAACCCTACATATCAATATTACATCTAGCTCCCAAAATACCTCCAGCCTGCAAAGGACATCGCTTCTTTTCTTTTGTAATCCGTCCGTCCAACCAAAAAGTCCAAAAGGTATATGAATACATCGCTATCCCTAATCGCCAGCAAGAACATTAATTGAAGCTTCACCATCCACTTCCTCAAATTAGCGCTTCAGCAAATACTTTTTGTCCCACTTGATTTGTTGAGACATAGCAACATCTAACAACCATTCCACTTTGACAATCCTCGGCTCCATATTTCCCGCCTTAGCCATTTCTTCGAACTTTGAATAAAGAGCTTGTTCAGATCTCTTGTCGCTGCTGATTAAGTAAACTGGCTCTGGGGGTCCATCATCTTCTTCCGGCTTGGTAGGTTTGATAGTTGGACGTCCTTTGAAAGTACCAAAAGTGGCGCCGTTGACTTCTGCAATTTCCCGATAAGTTTCAACGCCATTGTCGATGTCGAAAGTGCAGTATATTGGAATTGTGTTTAGAAGTCGACCTTTGTTAACTGTCGCACGATTCAAAGCATCCTTCAACTTGACACTGTGCTTCTTTTCGTTTTCTGCATCTACCAATGGAAAGTCTTCTGCGTCCAGCATCTTTCCGGCTTTGATACAAGCCTCAATATACTTCTCTGATACGACGGTAGGTCCATGTGCAAGACCGACAAGAAATTTCCTAGTTCGAACCATTTTGGGTGCAGCCATAATGTTGACTTTTCCATAACCAGTCCACAGAGAAATACCAAGACTACGTAGTTTTTTCTAATGCATGTTAGTAATGGCCGTGAAATAATAGAGGGATCAACTTACAGTATCTGTATCCTCCTTAGTTGGCGCATCA